GGGAATCGATATGGCAACCTCTTGGTGTATGGGTCGATGCTCAAACACTGAGCCACACTGGCCAGGCTAGAATTCAAATTCTAAAATAAAAAAGCAAAGAAAGTTAAAAAGGTATTCCTAACCAGCTCGACGTTTTCTTTAAAGTTCATATGATTATCATGGACAATATGATTTGGGTAATTTGAGCCACTTAATTTCTGTTTAATACTTGCACATAACCTGTATTAGTCTTCTAACTGCCATAACAAGACACCATACACGAGGTGGCTTAAACAACAGAAATGTACTTCTCACAAGTCTGGATGGTACAAATCCTAGATCAAGGTATAGGCTGGTTTGCTCTTTCCCAAGGGAAGCCTCTCTCCTTTGACTTGCAGATGGCCACCTTCTGACTGTGTTCTTCGTGTGGCCTCTCCTTTGTGTGTGCACAGACCTCGTGTCTTTTCTTCTTCTGAGGACACCAGCCATACATAAATTGGGCTCCACCCTTATAATCTTATTTAACCTGAATTACCTCTTTAAAGGCCTCATCTCCAAAATCACAAAATTCAACATATGAATTTTGAGGGAATACAACGAGTCAGTCCAAAGAAAAACATATATATTTATAAAGTCATCTGTAAAATTGGGTTACATATTATAATGAATTGGTAGCATTTTTTTAATTAGTGATACATAAAAACATGTTTATTCTGATTCATGCATCTTGGATTGAGGGAGGCATGCTAGCTTAGAAAACAGATAATGCTGAAAACCATTTAATAAGAAGTAACAGTCTCCAGCCCCAGCTTTCTCCACCACCCAGTCAGTCCCGGAGGCAAACCATTTTTGAATCTCTGTATGTTGTTTGTCTAAGTTAATAAATAACATGATTATAAGTATATACTTTATTTAAGTCAGTGATCAGTTATATACAATAACTCATGGCAAAAACCAAAGAATTTGAACCCATTTTCTCATATAAAATTTTATTTTCTATACTTAAATAACAATTGTTTAGTTAAAAATTGCTCTCCTTAAATTTTCAAACTGCTCTGCCAGTTTTACTATGCTATCATGAACTTTTCCCCAGTGCTGAAACAGACAGGGTAATGTCCCAAAGGCTCCTCATCTTCCTGGAAATCTTCTTGCAGGCTTCCATACCCTTGTTCTCTGTCTTGACTGTGTTCCTCTAATCTGCTGCTTGGTGCTCTCCTCTTCAGATCACCAGCTTACCACTTCTCCTCTTTATTGGTTTCTGTCCTCTATTATCATATATCTTTTCTTTCACTTTTTTTTCTCTTTATTGATATTAGAGAGAGAGGAAGGGAAAAGGAGAGATAGACATTGATTAGCCGCCTCCTGCATGCCCCCACTGAGGTTCAGGCCCACAACTTGGCCATGTGCCCTGACTGGGAATCGAACCAGTGACCTCTTGGTGCATGGGTCGATGCTCAACCACTGAGCCACACCAGCTGGGCTATTAACATATATCTTTTAGCAACTTCCTAAGAAAGAATACACAAGAAGTATATTTTCCAAGAACTTATATAATTGAAAAGTTTTCTTTTTATCCTTGCACTTAATTAATTGGTGCACATACAATTCTAGGTTGAAAGTCATTTTTCTCCAGAATTTTAAAGCTATTGCTGTAATGTCATCCAGAGACTTGAATGACTATTGAGAAGCCCAATGCCCTTCTGATGCTCATTCCTGTGTTCATGAACTCTTTTCCTAACTGGAGCTCTCTTCTCTCTATCTGTGATACTCTAAATGTCAAGTTATTGTGCCATGGTGAAGGGCTTTTCAACCATAATAATAATTGCTACTAATTGCTACCAGGAACCGCAGCAGAGAAGAGAAAGTAGCGAGCAATTAGAGTAAAGTAAAAAGAACAGGCAAGATCATACAGGTCATGTTAAGGATTTTGGATTTCATTCTAACTGTAAGGAAACCCACAGGAGGAAGTTAAGCAGAGAGTAGTATTGAATTTGCATTTACATAAGATCACCCTGACTGTTAGTTATGTAATAGGTTATAGGTGGGCAAGAGTGGAAACAGGAAGACCAGAATGTAATGTGTTGTTGCACATTGTGTTGGTTAAAAATTATAATTTGGATTAGAATGATGGCAGTGGCTATGGAGAAAAGCAAGTTAATTTATAATATATTTTGGAACTAAAATCTAGAGAATTTAATACTATGTATTTTTGAAGGCAGGGGAAAAGAGAGGGGACCCGAGATTCCTGCCTTGAGTACATAAAAGAGCTAGAGCAGATGATGCAGAAAAATGAAGGAGAAGTAGGGGGAAAGAACAAATTCCATTTTGTGTATCCTCCTCTTTGAAACCTTTGCTTAGACATTATCAGTCTTTCTGAGCTTTCTTTCAGGGGTTTTACTTTTTTCTTTTCTTGCCTTCAATTCAAATGCAAATATTTTAAAGGCATTGCTTAGATGTTCTCTTCTTTTCTTCCTCAATAATTTCTCAGTTTTTCCTGACCCTAAATTTCAATTTTGTGTAGATGATTCATCAATCTTTCTCTCTTGACTCAACCAATCTTCTGACCAATGATTTACATTTTCAATTGTTTTCTGAACACTGCCCTTTAGATTACCCTTTTGTACCTCTAACTCAACTTAAACTCAAATTCATTTTCTCCATGTTTACTGTGGGCCTTATCTGTAATGTTGTCATAACTGTCTTACCGCCCACCTGGACTCATGGTCAACATTGATATCTGCTGGCTCCTTGTTGCTAGCTTCAGATGCCATGGTTTTTTCAGTGGGATCTATTATATATTGTGATTATACTCTCTGTATTTTCTAGAAGTGAGTACCTTGATTGTAATTCAAACTCCCATTATATTTTACCAAGATTACTTTTTAACTTCCTAACAATCTTCCAACCTTCACTATCTCTCCCAGTCTATGAACCAGCACATGGCCTTTAGAATAATAATCTTAAATGATAATTCTGATCTTTTCACTTGTGTCTAATATCTTCAATGATCTCATTATCTTCACATTAATTTCAAAATTTCTTAAAAATACATTAAATGTTTCTTATGATCTGATCTGATCATTTTCTATTTTCTCCCAATTACCTATAACTTGAGTTTCTCACCATTCTGAAAGTTTGTCTGACATCCACACCTCTGATTTTGCTCATGTGATTTCTGAGGACTTCATCTCTTCATAGTCAAACCCTTCTACCTTTAAAGCATAAAGTGATTCCTCTCACCTCTCCAACTAGAAATAAGTTCTCCTTCTTATATTCCCCAATAGAATATAAGTGCACAATCACTGAAAACGGATATTATTCATCTCATATCCCCCAACTGCACCTAGTGTGAGGTCTTGTATACACCAAGAACAGAGTAAATATTAAATTGAATTGGCATATTAGTTCTCTTTCTAATGAATCTGTAATGTACCAAGTAATCCAAATGTAATTATGTGATGAATTTTACCTTAAAGGTAGATAATATTGAAATTCATGTTTTTTATACGAGCTGTTTACAAAACCAAATCTCTACTTCACTATGAATGGGCCCTTATGAAACAATTTAAAGTAATAATATGTAAATAATTTCTCAAATTTTCTAACTGTTATTCAGATTGCCTCACTTTTTTTATGCCTTTTATTTTCTTGGGAACTCGGTAAAGAACAGATAATATGGATACATTTAAATACTGAGGTATAATAAAAAATTTTACCTATCAGTTTCTCTATCAACCAAAACAAACACTAACCTATTTAAACATTAGATTGATTTTTCTGAACTGAAAAATTTGTCTTATCTGAAATTTTATGCAAATCAGCAAAATATGACTATCTCTAAATTTCAACTAAATTCCATCAAGCTAAACGTTGCCAATGCTTTAATGATAGAATTAAGTCCAGTAATATGAATGATACACTGAAAAATGGGATGGTGGCAGAAGATATAAACTATAACAAAATCCCTACTCATTTTCAACCAAAATTTTCTAAACAATTCCTTAAAAGCGAGAGCTAGACCACTTTTAGAATAATTGCCTCCATTTATACATTTACCTAGTTAACTCACCTTTCATAATTTTTTTCTAAACAGAAGATTTTAGTCTTTAATTCTCTAATAGCTACTTTACTTTTTGTGCAAAGCTTAGAGAAATGGCAGACAACTGAAGACTGATAATGCTTACAGATGATTTCAAAACCATTTTTTAAATAACTCTTAAAAACTTATGAAGAGATAATTTTATTTTAAATGCCCCGCAAATCACTTTTGATTTCTATATAGCTAAAAAAGTTATTTAAAATGACATATCTTATCTGAGAATAAACGTTCAAAACTATTGCTTTATTTTTTTTTTTTTATCTTTATTGTTGAAAGTATTACAGATGTACTCCCTTCCTCCCCCATTGACCCCACCCCCCACCTCCAGGCCTTCACCCATTGCCTCCTAAATGCCTGGGAGTACTTCCTGGCACGTGAGGCAAATAGGAGAATGATGGGAATCAGTGCAAATGCCAGTTTTACACCCACTGTAAATCCTAAAGCCTTGAAGCCGGAGTCAGATTCAGATCTTTCTCACTGTTGAACAATGAAAGTTAAGCATAAATTGTAGGAAGTCTGTCCTTAATTCAAATATGGTACTTTATCTTTAATAATAATTGCTGCTAATTGCTACCAGGAACCTTTATAATAACACTAGTGCATTATTTTACTTTAATCTCATAGCCACCCTATGAAACAGGCATCATTAGAGCTCAGGAAAGTGATAATGAGATTAACTTGTCTGAGGCCATATAACCGGTAAGTCAGGAAACAGGGAGGCAATGCAGCCACTGCCTACCAGAGCCCGAGCAAAGGACGGTCACACAGCAGTTAGCTGGCACCTGAATATCCTCGGGGTAAAAAAAAAAAAAAAGTTGGGGAAACATTTCCTAGAGTCAATGTGTAAAAAATGCTATGGTCACTTACACTGATTTGGAGCTCTTGCTTTAATATTATTTTCTCTTGCATTCTTTTCCTTCAGTCGCTGGACATCTTTCTGCTGCATTGTCTGTGATGGCAGCTGGCTTCTTTGAAATACACAGAAAGCACTTCCCGTCGGTGGAGCAACCTCTTTCTGGCAAACTTCTCACCGTTTCCTCCATGCCCTGTTCCCACCTGGTTCTTCAGTATGTTTTACTTGGAGTGGCCGAAACCCTGGTCAGCCCAGCCTGTGAGTAACAGTTTTATCACCTCATGTTAGAACATACTGAGTCTCTGCACAGAACACATCACCCCAGACGGTTGGCAATCTAGTCACTGCCTGGAAATTTCCTGTTTCAGAACAAACCAATTACCCTGGGTTTTTTTTAATGTTTAATTTTTCTTCATTTCTCTATCACATACAGAACAATTCTTAATTCTGCCTGAATGTAAATGAAATGAAGGATTTACTAACATCGTTGCAAGCTGTAACCATTTGGTCAGAGACATGAAAGGAGGAAAATCTTGGCTAAAACCTACACGAAAACTCCAGTGCACTCATGAGATCTCTCTTCTACCCTCCCTTTTCTTACCTCCCCCCTCTCACTCACAGACAAATTCACATATATACCTCCTCCAAAAGTGACATTTATAATGTAGTTTGAGAATCCATGAACATGTAAATGAAATGAAAACGTGAGACAATTTTCCAGACACCTCAATGTTTTTAAATTAAATTACACTAAATTAAGTGCGATCACTAGTGTTTCATAAGACAGGTTCAAAATTACTTTATTAAATTTCTGGATTATCTAGATAGCCATTATTAAATAAACTAGTCACTTTAAAATTCATCAAAATATTTCAACAACTTTTTGAAATATAGTAGTGTGTGTGTGTGTGTGTGTGTGTGTATCAGTGTAATCTATTGTCTTATATTTCTACCTTCCTCATATTTACCTGAAGTGGGAATTCTGATTGTAACTCAAGCCCAATTATACTTTACCAAGATTATTTTTGGAACTTCCTAACTATCTTCCTACTTTCAGTATCTCTCATATTCTATCAACTCAGCACACAGCCTTTAACATAATCATCCTAAATGATAACTCTAATCATTTCCCTTGTGTCTAAAAACTTCTATTACCTTCAGAGTTATTTTCAAATTTTTAAAATATATATATTTAATAATTATATATACATCTCAAAGCAATTCATTGAGAAAAGTCCAAATTAAACAAAGTTGGGTAATTATAGTCATGTGTGTGTAACTTCTTTTTTATAATTTTAAATCATCTCATTGCATGTATCTTGCATGAATAAACTATTTTATGAGATTATAAGTTGTGGCTATCATTTGACACTATGAGGAATACAAAAAAGTATAAAAGAATGCCACTATACAAATGTTTGTGACTTCCCTGATGTTCTTCCCAAAACACTGTTGGAAGTAGTCAGCCAAAATTTTGTAGTCTAAATGGGAAGAAAGGTAATGAATAAAGGTGATAATTGAATACAGTCAGGATATCCTTGACAATTTAGCAATAGTAGTTCAATACACAATAGGCAGATCATGCAGTATAAATCACTTAGCTCACCCCTCCTTGGAAGCTGAAGTCCAGCTAAGTCAGTTGACTTATCCACTACAGAGGTCATGGGATAGGGACCACAAGACTTTGTTTGAATTTCCAGCTTTGTCACTTACTACAATGTGACCTTGAAAATTAGTTTAACCTCTAACAGACTATGAGAAAGAGAAGAGTTAATAATGACATCAAAGTTTATGACCTGAGCCCTAGCTCGTTTTGCTCAGCGGTTAGAGCATCGGCCCACGGTCCAGAGAGACCCCGGTTTGGTTCCCACTAAGGGCACGTACCTCAGTTGCAGTTTGTCCCCACCCAGGTTGGGGTTGTGCGGGAGGCAGCCACTCGATGTGTTCCTTTCACGTTGATGTTTCTCTCTTTCTCTCTCTTCCTCTCTCTCTTTCCCAAACTGTCTGAGCAAAAATGGAAAAATGTCCTCAGGTGAGGATAAAAAAAAAAAAAAGTTTATGACCTGAGCAACTAGAAGGACGGAGTCGCCATCTACAGAGTCATGAAAGGCAACAGGGGGAGCAAGCTTTGAGGAAAAGATCATGAGTTTAGTTTTGGACATTTTTAGAATGAAGTGTCAAATAGAAATATTAAATAGGGATTAGATATCCAAGTCTGTAATTTAATATTGGGATAAGGGATAGATGCAAGTTTTAAAGTCATAAGCACATTGGTGGTATTTAAAGCAACAAGACTAGTTGAGATCACCAAGGGAGTTGCAGTACTTGGAAAGTTCGAGTAGCCAGAGAAGCAAATTAAAGAACTGAGCCCTGAGGCACTCCATCATTAAGACATTCCAGAGAAGATGAGAAATGTTCAAAGGAGATAGAAAATAAGTGACTTAAAGAAGATATGGAACATATATACAATGGGATACTGCTCAGCCATAAGAAAAGATGAAATTCTGCCATTTATGACAACATGGAATGACCTTGAGAATATCACACTAAGTGAAATACGTCAGGTTTCACTCATACATGGGATATAAAACTGAAGGCAACAAATGAACAAACAAGACAAACAAATAAACAAAAACTCATAGACACAGACAACAGTGTGGTGGTTACCAGAGGAAGGGGGGTTGGGAGGGAGATAGCACAGGATAAAGGGGGTCAAATATGTGGTGACAGAAGGAGATTTGACTTTGGATTATAAACAGATGATGTGTTATAGAATTGTACACCTGAAACATATAATTTTATTAATCAATGCCACCTCAATAAATTTTATTACTTTTTAAAAAATAATCTTTATTTTAGGGAGGCTAAGCAATTTTCCCAGTCAAACCATAACTGTGAAACACTCTGGTACATCACAACTTCACAATAAATAATATTTGAAATGTGTTCTTCTGTGAAAACAATACAGAATGTTAGGGATGGAAGGAGCAGGAAGAGGAATGACTGGTGAGAAAGGAAGGAAACCAAGAGAGTAACATCTTAGCAGTCGGATGGGAAAGAAACATATTAAAAGGAGGGAGTGATCGACTGTGTCAAACACTGCTGGTAGATGAAACAAGATGAAGAGTGAGAACTGACCATTGTATTAAGCAGTTTGTGGGTTATTGGTGATTTTGACAAGAGCCTTTTCATGTAGAATATGGGGATGCACAAAAGCCTATTCGAATATGTTTAAGAGATTACAGGAAGAGAAGATTGGAGACAATTCATTCAAAGGATTTTGCTGCAAAGGGGAACAAAGAAATGGAGCAGTAGTTGATAAAGGAATGAGGTTAAAAAAGTGTTTTTGTTTGTTTGTTTTTAAGGAAGGAAAAATAATGGCATCATACAGTATGTTGGTGGAAATAATTCATCAGAGAAGGAAAATTAATCGTGTCAGGGAGAGGGAAAATAACAGTGAGAGAGAGACAGAGGATGAGATCTAATTTACAAGTTGAAAATGTGGTTTTAGATAGTAGCAAGGATACTTCATCAGTGATAACTGTTTGGAAGGCAGAATATGTAGGTACAGAAGCTCATGGGTACATAAATGTAGTGTGAAGATTCTGTGGAAATTCCCTTCTGGCTGATTCTATTTTTTTAGTGAAGTAAGATGCAGAATTATAAAATTGCGGTCTAGGACAATGGGAGAGTGAACAAACTAGAAAGATATAGAATGTTGTCAGGAAGCATTAGGAGGCCATTTGAGGTTTATGGGCAGGAATTTAAAATGAATTGGACAACATAGTAATGGGTGGTGGTGTTGTTTTTCAGCCACTATATCCATTAGGCTGCATGGATATAGGGGCAGAGGAGGCAGACAGTGAATTGTTTTGCCAGTCTAGTTCCTAGAAAGCAAGAGCTAAGCAAGAGAATGAGAGGATGAGAAGAAATATGATTATAATTGACCATGAAACTTAACTTGGGTAAAAAAAAAGTAGTGAGCAAATGAAGGCATAAAAGAAGTGAAAATAATAAAAGAAACAATGGAGTAGAGTTCCTGGAGGGGTACACCCATTTGTATGGTCGAATAGTAGAGAACAAGCTGGGAAGATAGAAGGTGGTGGTCCAAGGGGAGTGCACAAAACTGAGATTCTGGAGCAGTTGTATTTGTCAGTCTAAGGCATGGGTTGGCAAACCTTTACTGAAAAGTGTCAGACAGTAAATAGTTAGGTTTTGCATACCAGTCTGTTATAACTACTCAACACTGCCACACACGAGCAGTCATAGAATGGATGTGACTGTGTTCCAATAAACTTTATTTATAAACAGGTGTCAAGCTGGACCTTACCTGACTATAGCTGACCAACTCCTGGTCTGGGGTACAAGGGTCAGAGTGTGACCATGGATATGAATGGCTAACATAGAGTGTGAACAAGGACATTGAAGAGGAAGGTCAAGAAATAAGAAACCAAGATTTGGCAGAACAGAAGGCTGCAAGGATAACCTATATGTATGTTAAAACTGCCAAGAATCAAGGCAGGAGTGGTACTGGAGGGTGTGATGATGAGAATGGAGCTGGTAACTGAATAATAGGGGGAAATGGCCTAAAAATTGACAGATAACAGCACAAAAGAAAACATTAGGTCATATAATCAGATGCTTTGAGATTCAAATCTGAAGCTTTTTAGACATGAGAAAGGAAGAATGACCTAGAAGTGGCAATCAGATCAATTTCCACTTTCTGGACGGTGGTACTTCTCCACGTGGTCAAAATAATTTCTTAAGCAAACATAATAAAGGCATTTTAACTGTTCAAAAACAATTGGAGTGAAAGTAATTTCTAGCAATGAGTCCCCAGTACCAGGGCCTCAGGAAGGTGGTGATGGCCCCATAATTTGTAGATTCTGCATATGCTGTGATGGGATATCTTTGCAAACATGAACCAACCAGCCTCCACCTGGAGGCACATTTCAGTTCTCATTGGCAAGAAGACCAGCTTTTACATACACTTTGAATAATTTCTACTGCGCCTTCATAGTAAAATGATAATTTTAGAGTGGCAGATTTGTTGATAATATCTATAGCATAGTGTGCTAAAAAGAGTAGCATGAGCCCAAAAAAAATCAAGTTGATGATTGCTAAAGTTGAAAAAGATCGGAACATGCAAGAAGATGCCTGAATATAAAGATCCAAGGACTTGAAACGCTAAGTCCTATAAAAGGGAACCGGAAGCTTTCAAAACGACTAAAATGACACCAAAGAGAGATTAACCAGCAGGCAGAGGCTGGCAAAGTGTGCTCATGAATTATATACTACACCAGAAGTTCTAGCAAGAGAAAAGCATGGGATTAATAATTAACTAGCAGAGTAATACGTTCTGCTTTTTCTCCGTGAAAGAAATCAGCCAACTTAGTCTTTCTGCCCATTGTTTGTCGCCTCATATATATAGAGTAGCATGTTCATAAGCCAAATCCTTTTTATAACTGTGAATCATTTCTTCCCAATGCCTCTTCATCGTTTTTCTCATACTCCTTTGCATCTTCCTGAAAAATCTTGCAGCTTGACCTCAGGCTCCTGCTGATGATTAGCACTGCACGAGAAAACGGGGTACCCACAACCCCTTGCCGCCAATATCTGAAGCCTTTATCTTCAGTATTCTGTTTATCACCATCATCATCTTCATCTCCAATATGGATTTGTGCCTGTTTAGCACTGTCCTTAGTACTGTGCATATCTTTGCTCTCTGCCCTCTTAGTTTAAAACCCAGGAAAGATGTGCCTATTACCTTTCCCACCCTCAACCTCAGCACCCAACACATTTCCTAGAGCACAGATAGGGACATTTTTCAATGTTTATGGGATGATAAATAGAAGCAGGTGGAGGACACGCAGAAAGTAAAACAGAAATGCTAAACGAATGCAAGATGGAACTTTGCTGCATTTACATTATACATTAGTAAGTTGGTTTAAAAGAGCTGGACAAGCCCTGGCCGGTTTGGTTCAGCAGTTAGAGCGTCAGCCTGCGGTCCCGAGAGACCCGGGTTCGGTTCCCGCTAAGGGCACGTACCTCGGTGTCAGTTTGTCCCCGGCCCTGGTTGGTCATGCGGGTGGCAGCCACTCGATGTGTCCCTTTCACATCAACGTTTCTCTCTCTCTTCCTCTCTCCGCCTCCCACTCTACCTGAACAAAAAATGGAAAAATGTCCTCAGGTGAGGATAAAAAAAAAAATATCTTGCAGTTTGTCCCCAGCCCTGGTTGGGGTCATGTGGGTGGCAACCAGTCGATGTGTCTCTCTCACATCAATATTTCTCTCTCTCTCTCTTCTTCCCGTTCTATCTGAAGATAAATGCAAAAATGTCCTTGGGTGAAAATTAAAAAAAAAAAAAAAAAGAGTTGAACAAGTACATTTACTGGGGTGAAAAACAGCTGGTACACCAGGAATGACATTTTCTGGGGTGGGAAGGGAGGAGCTAAGTTTTCTCTGCCTATAGAGAAGGAAACTAAAGTTTTAGTGTTGACAGTATATTGGTTTTCTGTCACCACTTTTCTTACTTAAATGAGCTTTGATGTTTATTTATGATCTCCTATTGTAGAAAAGTGTGCCAAGTAAAAAAGAGCAAGGAGAAGAAAAATTAAAAATCCAATAATTCCAACCACTCACAGCTAAAACTGTTTCTGTTATTCAATTCTTATAATGTTTACCACGCCTACACAAAGAGAGATTAGTGTAAGAAACTCCTGTGTACCCATGTCCCAGCTTCAACAATTGTCAACTCACAGCCCACCTTGTTTTATCTCTACTCTTTATTTGCATACTCAGTTCCTCCTTGTATAATGTTGAAGCACATCCCAGATATATTATATATCGTAAATATTTTAGCTTATATGCTATGCATATTTTAATAGTTGTATTAATATGGTCTTTACAGGATTATACATACTTATTCTCATCTATTTCTGATATCAAACTTATTTTTAATTAAATTTTTATTTTTTTATTGAGGTATAATTGACATAACATTATATTAGTTTTAGGTGTATGATCTAATTATTAGATATTTGTATACACTGCAAAATGGTCACCACACTAAGTCTAGTTACCATAGATCACCATAAATAATTACAAATTTTAGCCCTGGCCGATTTGGCTCAGCGGTTAGAGCATTGGCCTGCAGACCAGAGAGCCCTGGGTTCGGTTCGCACTAAGGGCACGTACTTCAGTTGCTGTTTGTCCCTGGCCCAGTTGGGGTTGTATGGGTGGCAACCACTCAATATGTCTCTCTCACATTGATGTTTCTCTGTCTCTCTTCCGCCCCCTCTCCTTCCGCTCTATCTGAAGATAAATGCAAAAGTGTCCTCGGGTGAGGATAAAAAAAAATTACAAATTGTAGTGGGGTTTTTGTGTGTGTGATGAGAACTTATAAGATTTACTCTCTTGGCAACTTTCAAACATGCACTACAAAATTACTAACTAGACTCATCAAGCTATATATTACATCTGCATCAGTTATTTATTTTATAACTGAAACTTTGTATGTCTTGATACTCTCCACCAATTCTACCTACCTCTTGACACCCCTCCCCTCTGGCAATCACCATTCTGTTCTCTATACAGTGAGTTTTGATTTGTTTGTTTGTTTTGTTCTTTAGATTCCACATATAAGTGACATCATAGGGTATTTGTCTTTCTCCATCTCACTTATTTCACTTAGCATAATACCCTCAAGGTCATGCAGGTTGTAATACATGGCAAATCTTTGTTCTTTTTTATGGCTGAGTAGTATATTGGGACACCAAAACACTAATTGATCAAATTTTTCTTATAGCTGTACAAGGATGTATTTTGTCATATTTTATTCCTTATAGACATCTATAAATTTTAAAATCATAATATATCTTACAGTAGTAATTTTAACAAAGTCCACCCCAAATTTTAATTCTATCGGTACACTTTCTTTGAGATATAATCAACACTCAGTTGAACAGTATCTATGAAAGTAGGTTAGAGAGAATGTTCTAAATTCTGACCTCCTTTTCTCTCAGTCTCTGCAATATCATACAGATTTGTTCCAAGTACCATCAGAGGAACCTCTATGAATTGTTTGACCCTGTTCAATGGATTTGGTTGTTTCACGGGGGCACTGCTGGTGGAGTCAGTATATCTCATCTCCGAAGGTAAAAATAGGTTTATGGTACACTTACATATATTGATTTGATGACTAGGAAATTGGGAGACAAAAGTTTAAGAAGAGGGGTTTTGCCACTGTAGTCTTTTTTTTTTTTTTAATTGTTTCACTTTGCAATTAAAATAGGAAAAAGACTCTTGCTGTATTCATTAATTTCTGAGAATTGTTTTTCTTTTGATAGGAAGAGGTAATTACAAAATGTAACTTCTCCTGAGACCCTGTCTGCTGTCTTTCTTTAGTGTATTTTAAAACAAACTGGTCATTATATTCTTATTAGGCCTTTCAATGAGGCCATATTTAATAACGCCTCATCGATGGCATAGATAATCCTCAGAAAAGCTAAGTATTGTGTAAATAGGGGTATCTGGATGAACTTTTCCCCTTGTAATTTGCCAGAAATCTTATCTATGTAACCAAAGAGAAACTGTGCATTGAATAATATAATCTTGGGAAATTTTCCTCGTTGAGATTTTGGTCAGGAGAAGCAACCAAACTGAAAAATTCATGTGTAAACACAAAAAGTACTGCTCTTTTTTGTCCTGGTAGAAGAATCAGACATGATGACAATGACAATTAGATGTCACAGTGAAATGTCTTTGGGTATATTTTAAATCCACAGACTTTTTCCTTTATTTGTTCTAAGATGTTAATATAGTTTATTTTTTCTTAATTTACTTTTGCTTATTTTATAGAAAATATCACAAGCTCTATTCTTCTCTACCTTCAAAAATACTTAATTTGTGTACTTAAAATAATGTAAAGAAAGTGTTGGTTTGTGTGTTCTTGTCATGAACAAATTTAATTTACTTACTTTCAAACTACAGAAAAAACAGAGACTATGAATGAGAAACTCCTTTTAACACTGTCTCTATTCAAAACATATTTATCAAGGATTCCCTGTATTCCAGAACCATACTGGGCACTGATGATCCCATTGCAAGCAAAATAAACACTTCTAAACCCTCAAAAATTTCCAGGGTCGTAGGGAAAAAAATTAAGGGTGATAAATGCAATGATAAGTATAGCAGAGTTTTAGGAACCAAATGTGCAGTCCCAGATTGAGTAACAAGATCAAACACTGCCTTTGCCTTAATTGAACAAGTGAAGTAAAAACATGTATTGAATACTTACTATGTCCTAGGCCCTGCACTACATTGAATTAAGTGAGATATAGATCCAGTTCTCAAGGAGCTCAAATCCAAACTGTCATAACTCACTGTGTGAACTGTGGCAAGCTGTTGACTTCTCTGATGATTAGAATCTTTATATGTAAATAAGGACTAAAGCATTGGTGTTAGATGTAAGATAGCCTGGAAAAGTCTTACTTATATCTCTACCTTAAACATCTTAGGTGTTGAATATGTGGTTCTTTTCTTCACATCACACAATGAAGATGTTTCTGAAGATTTGCTAAAAATGTAAATTTCTATTATCAAACCACATTAATATATTCTAGAAGAACTGCAAAGCCGATTTTTTTCTTTTTCTTTTTGGGTACATGCCCCTCGCAGGGACCCAACCCGGGACTCTCTGGTCCGCAGGCCAACGCTCTAACCGCTGAGCCAAACCGGCCAGGGCCAAAGCCAAAATTAATTCCAGTTTATCTTTTATATAAATCTAAAATTTTCATATGTGTGCTTAAGCAACTTACCCAGGGTTAGGCCAAACCTCACTGGTTAAGTTCTCCCTACGACTGTCTTTACTTTGGAATTAGCTACAAGTTCAGAGTTCCCCAGAACTACCATCATTTCTGGTAAGCTGGCTATAAATTTGGAGGTCCCCACAGATTCCCTCAGGTTTTATAATTCTCCAGAATGACTCAACAGAACTCAAGAAAGCACAATATTTAGATTATATCTCTATGATAGCAAAAGAATACAAATCAAAAGGAGCCAAAGGGAAAGACACCCAGAACAAGGTCTAGGAAGTTCCAAACATAAAACTTCCTTCATCCTCAGGGATGCAGTCCCACCTGGCATATCACTGTGAGACAGTATGCAGAGTATTGCCAACCAGGGGCACTCATCTGAGCTTCGGAGTTTTTATTGAGGTTTCATTATGTAGTCAGGATTGACTGAATCACTGGCTATGTGTTTAAACCTGATTACCAGCATCTTTTCCAACTCCAGAAGCTGGGCTGATATGTGGCTCAAACCCTAATCATCTAATCACATGATTGGTCTTCCTGGCTGGCCAGCCCCCATTCTGAGTCACCTCCTTGGCAAAAGCCATCAGGTGGGGTTGGAGCGGCTCATCCCTAATAACAAAGACACTTCAATCACTCAGGAAATTAAAAGGGTTTAGAATTTACCTTTTAGGGACCAAGAACAAGGCCAAGCAAATTCTTCACTACACTTAACTATTTCATTCAAAACCTAAATATCTATTGAGAATTTGCTTAGCATGGTAGGATCCCTTACACACACTATTGCATTTATTACAACAATCTTATCAAGGTGATATTATGATGCTTGTTTTAAAATGTAATGATTAAAGCAGAAAAAAGAAGGTAAAGTGCTCCAGGCATCACAACTAGCATCTGACAGAGATCTGCCCCTCTCGGTGTTCTGAAACCAGTGATTGCAACACGCCCAGCAGCTCTTAGGAGGCACCTTGGATGAGGCTGTGCATATAAGAAGTTATTGATAATATTCTTTATAAAGTAAATGATAGATAAACAAAAGTTGATATAATTCTGGCAGAGTTTGGTGCCCATGAAAGAAGGTTTACTAAGGACATATGATGAGAACATCTTAGCAAAATGAGATGTGCAGAGGGGCACTCTCCATATTTGCATTCAAGACAACACCATGTAAATTACCACTAATTAATTTAATTTGTTTCTTATTTTAAGATTTTTTTCTGTTCATAATAATATTGTTATATCAAATCATATCCCGGTAAGTTAGAACACTACAATTGGATGTTACCTTAAAAATGATCTAGTCTATCACTGTACCAAAAGTTAGTAGATGTACTAGCATCTTCTAGTACCTAGAAAAATTCTCTACTTTGAGATATAACCAGAGTCTGCCCATCTGTTGAGAACTATGTTCCACAGAGTAAGTCTAATTTTCTATCCACATAGCAACTCTTCAAACATCTGATAAATATTCTGAAAAATAATGTGGCACAAGGTTAAGAAAGTTGCTTCTGGAGTTGAAACTCTGTGTCCTCAGTTGCCAATAATGACAACAAATAATTCATCATATTGTTCTGAGGATTAAGTAATTAATACACATGGTAAGTGCTCAATCAAGAGGGCTATTATGATCCTCTTCTATTCTATAGACAAACCACCCCAGTTTTATCACATTGCATGGTCAATTAAAACCTGAAGGTTTTGGTTTTTGTTTTGTTTTTTTTTCTATTTTTATCAGCTACTATCCATTCAATTCCACTCATCACAATTTTTTTCTAATTATATGCAGGAATTTATCTTCATTCTTAATAAATGTCAGCCCATCATCCTAAATAACACATTTTTAAAACTTGATTCTTTCATCCATTGAATTATTAATCTTCCTTTCTTTACTAGCTTTGTGTCATCTGCCAATTTAGTAAGCAAGTACCTAGACTTCTGCCAGGTAATTGATGAAGTGTTGAATTGGACAGAACCAAAAATAAAGCCTATGGAAAGTTTCTAAAGACCTCACTGCAAGCAAGTTAATGATAATCAACTAATCTTTCCCTTTTGGATTTAATCAGCTCCCATTTCATTTAATTACTATATTTAGCCTCCACACTTCTCCATCATTCCCTGAATGACATCACAGGACACACTGTCCTATTTATTTTTTCTAGAATGGGATATGGTTTTGTTTATGACAGTCCCTTTAGCCATCAGAATAGCATTTATCAAGAAAGGAAATGAAGTTCATTTACATGATTTGGTTCTAATGACCCTATACTAACATATAGTGACTAATTAGAGGGGTTCTTTGACCCTATGCCTGGCTTTGGGTAAGTCATCATCTTTCTAAGGTTGTTTCTTCTTATTTAAAAAAGGAAAGACTGTACTTCACTCTTCTCAGAGATGATTAGAAGATAAAATTAAACAAGGCATTTGAACATTTTAATGTCAGAGATTATTTTAACTATAAAATTAAGTCATATATTATAGTGGCCCATTTGGTTAAAAGCAAAATCAGTTTATTTGTGTCAACCAACCAGACCAATTTTTTGACAGAGCTGACCATAATGAAACCAACACTGTTACTATGTGCTTAGGTTTCCCACATGCCTCCTCGTTCCCTTTAGCACATAGGATATTTTAAACCTTGAAGGATTCATGTCAGCTGAGCATGTGTGTATATGAGAGTGTGTGAATGTTAGTGCATGATTGGAAAAGATAATCAGCTATCACAGCCTCCCAGTCTCCAACTGCATTAAGTCATTTTTAGCACCATGATGGAGAATGGTGTGAATGCGGTAAATTCAAAAGATTTCTCAAAACTTGACTGTGCAGACAGATAGCTGTTAGAGTGACATTTTCAGTACAAGTGAGAAAACTGATCCTTCTGGGATCTCTAACTCTGAGTGCTTTAAAGGAGAAGATACAAGACTAAACCCATCCTCCTACACTAATCATTTCAGGAATAGTTTATCTAAAAGTAGCAATGCTAATATAAAGGAGTGAAGAAGTCAGTCAAACTGCTTATTTCAACTATATCCCATTAGCAACCAGATCCATTTTCTCATACAGGAGTTTGAGCTTACCTTTTGACAAAAATAACAAAATAGCATTCAGTGAAAAATGACATCTTTGTTATGGACGTGCAGGTGATTGAAAGATCCAAAGCAAAATGTCTAAAAGAAAAGGATAATTGGACAGAATCAAGAGGTCAAGGTACACATCTTTTTGTCCCTGCTAGGTCTTCTTCCTCAGAATTCAGGAAAGGAACAAAGAATTTGGCTGTTTAATTCACATCAAGATCTTTTTTTTTTTAAATATATGATCTTTCAAAATCCTCATTTAAATATCTGTGA